GTGGGTGCGTGGGTGCGTGGGTGCGTGGGTGCGTGGGTGCGTGGGTGGGTGGGTGGGTGGGTGGGTGTGTCTCGCTGCTTTTGACACATTTGCAGCATGCAGCACTTTTCTTCCCGCATGGTGCTTGTCTGTCTGAAAACTGGGAGGTTGAACTAGGCATCTTGTCGTGCTCTTTGAGACTCGCTACTCGCATGTACAAATCTTTGAGACTCGCTACTCAGCTCTTCACACGCCTCTTTCCTTTGAGGCTTTTAGCACGTCTGCTGGCGCGATTCATTTCTGCCGGTTCGTCTGGGTCTTTGACTGCCCCTTTCTTTTCTAGAAAGTACTTCCTCTCAGCCTTCTTGTACTCCACCATCTGGTTGTCGGTTAGAATCATGTCAGGCTTGAAGACAGTCACCAAGTAGACTATAAAAACACCAAGGAAGAAGGGGATGACAATGATTTGCAGCGCGCCACCCATCAAATCTCCCGGAGCTGCTGTAAATGGCATGTCCTTGATCACCTCTGCAGCCTGTTCCCTTGTTGCTTGAGCCACTGGATTGAGATCTGAAAATCGTCTTACTTGGAGCTCTCGTACACCGGAGCTTTTGCCTGCAAGGCCATACTTTGCTCTCCCTCTGAGACTGGAGAAGCTGAGGCCAAAGGGAACGGCCACTAACATCATTAATGCCCCCAAAATGAACAGCGCCTTCATGAGGGTCGCGAAAGGACCCCGCCAACCCTTGCTCCTCATGGCCGGCAGCATGAGAAATTATGATGTACCGTGCTAAATCTCAAAGCTGGAGCCAAACTACTTCAAAAGGCAAGGTGGTGTGGGTTGGATTGATTGAATGTGTGCCAAAGGGGCCTAATTGCTTTGTTTGAGCATTGCAGCAACAGCCTCAACACGTCTCCGCCATTCAAATTCCAACCAACTCCAAGTGACTGCAGCAACGGCTCAGCCATCAAAGCGGTCGCGCTTCCCAAGGACCATGTCGGGACAAAGGAAATCAAGAGAACACAGCACAAGCGGCTGCTTGTAAGAAATTAAGCGTGCAGTGCAATATGTATATTATACAGTTATATATACATGCTTGAACTTAAACCTCAGTCTACGACTATGTGGTGGCATTTCTGTCGATACCACTGGACTGCAGTGCCTCAACGGTTTCAGAAAAATAGAGTGCCCCTCGCACATCCTTGTTGTACCGTGATTCTTGTTGATGCATGCGAGATGGACTTCTCTGCGCACGAAACAACTCTTCAAGTCACGAGCTTGAAAGGAGAACGTGCAGTATCAAGGAGTAGTTTTCTGGGAATAGTGACATCGCATGATCCTCCAAAGTTCTTTGTGCCGGCACTCGCTCAAGCACTGAATCCAGGCAAATCACCAAAGTCTTTCAAAAGTATGGGTAGAGTCCAAAGCATTTGAAAGCCAATTGAGATGTGTTTTCATGATATGAGGAGACGCGCCCCTAAAGCGTCTCATGGAAGGCCAGCGCCCCTAAAGCGTAGTAAGAAACATATACAAAGCCAAATGTCAAAATCCACACCCCAATTCCAGGCAATCCGGCTAATGCACTTGAATTATTTTTCCTACGGGGGCCTGCATCAAAAGGTCCGGTACAGCACAGTCTAGCCACTTGCTAGAACCACACATTGTGGCCTCATTTGTCGTCACTTAGGCGGACCCTTTTCATGACAGCTATTGCTTGATTTGGGCCAAATGCAAGTGAGAAGTTTTCGCTGGAGATAGGGCTTTTGTTGTACACCTTTGAAAACTGTCGCATTCCACAAGCAGCTTGTGGGATAAGTCAAGCTGTTGGCATCTGTTTCGTGGCAAGCGCCCTGCGGCCAAGAAGGCCAAAGACCGGTACAGTTGTTCGGACATGTCCTCGCCGTAGTGCAATTTCATCTTTTCCTTCAAAGAATCTGGAAGAGAACTAAAGCCACACTTCGTTTTAAAACGATAGATTTTTGCCTGCAGCATTAGGCTTATGATTCTACAGAAAAATGGGCAGCAGCTGAGGCGCTTCTAAGTACTGGTTGTTCTGGCAGCCCAAATATGTTCACACCGAGCAAGTTTTCGGGTCTGACAGGCATGTTGAGGAGGCTTCAACTCTTCTGCACTAAACTGCGCTCCAAACCAGCGGTGTGCACAAGTACTGTCACTGCATCTGTGATGCTTCTTTCTTCCTCTCTTCCTCCCTTCATCCCTTCCTCTCTTCCTCTCTTTCTCTCTCTCTGTCAGAGTCGGGGCATGGATGGCTCCCTGCGGCCTCACAAAGGCACCCGACTACCGCCGGGTACCTGTGAAGTCTTCATGAGGCGGTCTCTTATGCTGCAAAGTTGCATCTTGTTTCCAAGCGGCGGGATGATTGTAAACATACATTTGCGTGAAAAGAATGCGGCTTCAAGAATCATAGAACCAACAAACAAATCAAAAGAGTGATGCATGAGCACTGGCCAACCAATGACAAGCAAACAGGGCTGATTCTCAAAACCCATGAGCTACTCTACTCAAATGCTCTCAAATCCTATGATACAAAGCGCGCAAAGCTTAGCGTGGAGCTGGTAGGCCCAATCTGGCCTCCTCTTTGGCCACATATTCACAAAGGAACCGCATAGAATCAGTTGAATCTATGCCAATCGGGCCCACCCCTGTGGTATTTCCCATGCCCTCAGGAGCTATAGCAGCTATAGTAGCGTTCCTCGTTTTCCCATCCCCTCTGGACCATCGCCCGCTCAAGTCTCCACGAGGTTCCTTCAAGATCGGCGGCTTTGGAGGACTTCCGGTGATGGCTTTGTCAGGGGACGAAAGCTCTTCCAGCTTTCGCACGGCCAAGCTATTTTGGCCTTGGATTTACTTTGAGAATGTCTTGTGACGTGTTAGACCTGTAGCCCATCAAGCGAGGCTAAGGGATTCAAAACAACAAGGTTTGCGCCTTGCGCCAAGTTGCCCTCCACTGCAGCCAAGCGAGACTTGGCCACCTCTGCTTCAAGCTGCAAACGCCGTACGCGCTCCGTCTCGTCGCTGAGCTCTCGGACTCGGCTCACCAAGCGATACTCCAAGTCTTTGCAACGCCGACGTGCTTCCTCCAGAGCCGGCTTGGCCACCTCGTCAGGAAAGGCAGTGAGAGAGATCCGAATGTGGTATGGTGATGTGACACAAAAAACATTATGAATGTTGTAGTAGTATAACCATATTATTTTGGAAGGTGCTTACATCTAGGACAAAACAAGCAACACGCATATATATATATATATATATTAATGAAGGAAAATAATATATATATAACTATATATATATATTAATGGGGAAAAAGGAAACATGAAAAACACATGCACTCCCAATGCTTCAAAAGCCTAACTATCCTATTCGTTAAGGGCACGGCGCATGTCATTCGCAGCTAACAAAATGACATTGAAAGCCATACGCGAAGCAATCTATCAGGGGTCCCAAGCACCTGCAGTTCTACCTCCAAGCGATTGCGATCCTGCATCGTCATCTTGGCTTCATGTTGCAAGCGAGCCTGTTCGGTATGCAGCTGCTGAATTTCTTTCCTCAGCCTTTCGGAGGCCAGCTGCTGGGTCGCCTGCTTCTGAGCCTGTTCGTCTCTCCATCTTCGCTGCGATGCACACTGTTCAACCAAATCTGCGGCAAGCTTGCGAAGGTCCCCGAGCTCCTGACATGCTGGATTGGTTGACTTTAAATTGTCTTGCCACTTGGTTTGTTTGGTGCAACTTGGCTGTAACGTCTTAGGTCTTCAAAAATGTGTCAAGCAAAGCCAGAATGTGCTATGAGTTTGTCTTTCCCAAGTGCTCCTTCTCTACATCAGCCTTTGCAGCTTCTGCTCCTTTGAGCTCGGCTTCCAGCCTTTCCTTCTGTGCTTTGGAGGCCTCACCCAATGTCCCCATGACGCTCCAAATAAATGCTTTCAGGTTCATTCATGGTTTGGGCACGTTCAGGGTAACATCTGGCAAACGCATTTACTTGCCGTATGTAGTCTTGAACTTCACCGTGAATGAGTTGCAGTGATTACACAGCTATTGCAGTATGAAAAGGCTGTTGTTGCTGTTGTTGTTGTTGTTGTTGTTATCATCTCTTTTACCACCCAACCTCTGCGGCTTCCAGCTCACTGCGATGGCGTTGCTCTTCCAAACGAAGCTTGTCTTGAAGAACGGCTGCCTCCTTTATTGTGGCATCTAGCTGAGCCTGAAGCTCACTGCCGTCCTCAATATCATGATGCAAACATGTCTCGGAAGCTGCCTCTCTCTCTCTCCCTCTCATCACCGTTTTAACCCCCGTGAGATTCCGTGAGCCGGTCCTTCCGGCACTGGTCCAGCTGAGAACTAAGACTGCTGAGCTCTTCCTCGTACCTGGTCCTCCTTCCCACTTGCTCACGGTGGCGTGTCTCACTTTGGAGTGCTGCTTCCTCAGGCAAGCCGTGAGAAACTCCACACCGAGTGTGGGACTCTCACCCACACAACTTTCACCAAATATAAGATAAAAACACAGGTGCGGTTGTAATTTTGTATTTCCCGTTTTTTTCTACAGAATCCTGGGGCTTCACAGCCCGCTGCTATTTACAGCAGTCTGGGCGTCCTATTTACAATCCTTTGGACATACACCCTGCAAGTGGTCAGCGGGCTTTCTATGGTAGCTCAGAATGCTCAAGTCGTAGTGCACCGTGAGGACCAACGTATGGCTAAAAGGTGACGGCTAAAGCGGTCACGTGAACGAACTCAAGAGGGCCTCTTTCTGAACCAAGACTTTCGGACACGCTCTCTTGACGTGCATGTCGACCTATGGCAATTGCATGCCCCGGTCTCCCCCTCATGTCTTTCGAGTGGGGAACACAAAACGAACCACCAGACACCACCGGGGTCAACCAACCGAGGAGTTTTCGAAAGTGGGCATTCCTTGTTGTTTCCGCTTGCGTGCTGATCTCATGTGCTCGTCGCTGACAATGCGCCACTTCTGCTGGGATTTATAGTATAGTTCCATTTCCTTAGCTCCCTCCTTAGTCAAAGCATTGCTAAGTTGTGCCTCAGAGTGAACCCAGCGGATTTTAACGTTGTTGTATCTTTGGGCGGACTTTAGGCAAAGCATCTCTATGTCAGTTCTTCTCTCGGCGCCTTTAACGCTGAGCTCTTCTGTTTGTAACTTATCGAAGACGTTGCGGGAGTCGGACACCACACAACCCTCGGTCAAGTTCACGGTGTGATCCACATCAAAAATATTAGGCTGGACTCCTAGTAACCCTATCAATTTTACTAGCATGCCATGAGACAGGAACGACCGACTCAAATGCTCCTTCAAGAAGTGTCATTGGTGCAATTCCTACAAACAAGCCTTGGGTGCTGCTGCCATCTCTTCTGTTTTGACCGGAGGCATCGGCCCAAACGTACATGCCTACAGGAACGTGTGCAGGAATCTTCTGAATCTTCAGCTTGTGGTCTCTTCGAGACTTAGTTTTTTGAAGAAGTCCATTCACTCGTCCGATTGTTTCAACTGTGCTTGCTGTCACATCTGAAAGGAGCAAGCCAACTTCTGTTGACAGGTGAGGTGCAACTTGCTGTGCATGCCAACTTAAAGCACCAAGGATGGCACGGAGCTTGGATTTTTCCCACTCCGAGGTTGGCTGATTCTTTTCTCGCCTTCTTGTGGCACATAAATTGATTTCACTCACCTTATCCAAATGAGTTGGTTGAGACAGTTCAAAACCATCCTTTGTGGCTTCGATCTGAACT